CAAATCTTTGTTGGAAATCGCGCTCCATTTAAGGCGGGGCCTCGCATATGACGCAAACCTGTTAGCCTGTTCCACCATTCTTTGTTTTCCGAGGCAAGGAAGGATTCTTGACTCAGAGGTACATGTGCTACCAAGCACGCCTCCTTGACATTGAGAAACACCCCGGGTCTAACATCAATGGAGTTTGTATTCTCTGATGGGGGCTCACATTGTGAATGAGTGCTTCAGGGAGCAGGAGACATCCTTTCCACACATGGATTGGCCCACAGAGTCCAGACCTCAGCCACTGAGAGTCGTTGGGATGTGCTGGAGAAGACTCTGCGCAGCGGACAGCGGTGCACTCTCCCGTCCTCGATCCAAGATGTTTGCGGAAAATTAATGCAACTCTGGACAGCTTCAAAAACGGTTTCCAACGCGCCTGCCCATTCACTTTGAATGGGGTGACGTCAAGTTGCCTCGCTTTTCGCCGAACTGAATTGTGGGTAGCAGAGCTGAGCTTTCCTGGCGTTTCAGGCTGCAAAAGTTGAGCAATGTTCAACTTTTGAAGCTTCTGAAGCTTTTGGTGGAAGCGTCAGCCAATCAAATTATATGCCAGTACAAGCTCTAGCCAATCAAACCGCTGCTTGTGTGTCAGGGGCGGGAGATTCATGTGATTGGTTGTTGGTCGAGCTTCAGACACGCCCGCCGGCAAGCTTTTTTTGAAGCTGTAGTGCGGACGGGCCGTAACATTGCAGAAGCTTATCGAAATGATGCCACGCCGACTGCGTGCCGTACTCAAAGCTAAAAGGCGGTCCAACATAAGAAGGGCAGTGTATAAGCCATTTAAAACAAACATTTCCAGTGTATATCTTTATTTATCTTTATATTGACTTGGCTGGCTTGTTGTGCCTGTGTGGTTAATCACAGTAAAATACAATTGTGTCCACACTCGGTACTTTACAAGAGGCAAACATCACGAGGCAAAACTCAAAGTGATAAGCCAACCTAATAAGAATGTAACCATTAAGAACTGTCTCTTGTCGACGTCTTCCAAACAGGTTGCCTGTCTCTTAACAATCTGGCGTTCAATCTGGCGGGAATTGTAGTCTTTTGTCGCTACTTTGGGGGCAGATAGCCAAATACTCAGCAGGAATAAAATAATACGTTTTGGGTTGTTATCAATGTAATAAAGAAAGGGCTTGATGAGTGTATGTAATGAGTCAATACAATTACTTGAGCTAGTACCTTTTCAGAGTTTTATTGGTACATAACTCCACTTTCACCAAAGTGAGTTCCTCTTGTATCATAAAAACATCACACACAGACAACTGGCTCATTGACCTTTTTTGTGTGTCCTCTGCAGGAAGCATACATGTAAAAGCAGACATTCTTGTGCTTGACACTTAATTACATTTGGGGACCCAAGAGCACAAACTATAACACAACTTCATGTTTGACAATATACAACACTTCCAAAATGGCGATTATGGTTCATATGGCACTTACAGAATAACTGGATGATCGAGTGATGAGTCTCAGAGAGAAGACCATAATAAAAAAACAGACACACTCAATACTACATGTCGGTTCTGTTTCAAGGCAACATTTTGATTTGAATTCTGTTTACAGTATGCAGATTTAAGGCACTGTGATTTTGCTAATTGTGCCTGATAAGTGCAATACTTTTCAAATACAAATCACACAGAAGATGATTGGTCAAAGGTTTGGCCACAATCACAGGTTACAGGATTTCTGTACCAGCAATCACTACAATACTCATTTCCACAATATCTGCAGAGAACCAGAGGCTTCCTGAAGCAGGTCCTCCCACAGGAGCACACGCCCAGGGGCTGCAGGCCGTGATCTCTCCGGCAATACTCTATCCCTTTGCAGGAACCAGAGTGAAAGACACTGCAGCTGAGACACATGAACTGGGGGTCCGGCTTGGTCATGTCGCAGCAGTCATGGTAGGTGATCCGATGAAGAGGTTGACTTATTGATTTATGCTCATCACGCAGAGCTAAGGAGGACATGGCTGCGTTGCTGCTGAGAGTTTGCGATGCGCTCATATCACTCACTCTGAGGCTCTGTCCCTGGGGAGACGAAGCTCTCAATTCTTCCACTCGGTGCTTCTTCCTGAAGCAGAGCTCAAGCTTGTTGCAGTCAATGTTGTGCAAGGCATTGCATTCAGTGCAGACTTTAGGACAGAGATGAGCTGATTGGAGGCAGAGGCAGCTGTGGTCGGCTTCAGCCTCGCTGTGACGGTAACCACTCATGTCTAACTGCAGACTGCGGGACTGGGAGTCCACTCTGTCAAACCGGGGCTCTCTGCAGGGACGCCGGCCCTGCCTCCCGCAGGCTGAGGAGCTCCTGGGAGGGTCCGCCTCCAGGGGGGAGGTCTTGCTCAGCTGGCAGTTGAGCGTAGAGATGCAGACCTGCTCTTTGGCAGAAAGAGAGGTGGCCGTGGCAGACAAGGACGCCACTCCGTTGCTGTGTGTTTTGACAGCGGGGGGGGGGGCACTGCTTTGAGTCACCCAGGTTAAAGAGCGGGGACTCTCGTCGTCAATGAGAACCGTCTCCTTTCCCACCCCTTTAACGTACTCATCCGTGTAGAGATCCATCTCCCCTTCTCCATCAAACGGCTGATTGACATCCAGGGTCTTCTTGGTGTTGTCCAGGGCAACCTGTTGGGATGCATGTCAAATGAATCCTCAGTGTGAACATTTTTACTGTTTTCCAGGAATAGAACGAGATGATGGTTTAGCGAAGTATAATATCAGCACAGCTGCTCAGTAAATAAGGTTCAAAGATGTGTATGACGCAAAAATGTAGTGTGAATGCTTAGCTCTGAAGCCAATATCAACAATGGTGGAATTAAACTAATTCATTAAGTTAAATAATGTACTAAAGCATACTTTTTAAGTACTGGTAGTTTAATTATTTCCATATTATGGGACCCAAAGCACTTACTCCACTTCATCTCAGAGGGAAAAATTATACTTTCAACTCTACATTTATCTGATAGCTCCTGACCTGACCTGTTACTTGCAGATTTGATAATCAAAACAATATATAATCAAAAAATAAATGTTGTATGTACTATTACAGAACACAATAATTAAAATTAGCTTCACATTAAGCAGCTGCAATATTTAAGAGATGAAAACATCAATCCATCCATAACAATAATCCAAAACAAATATTTAATAGTATGTGATGTGGCTTTTATTATTCATCATAACATAATTATTAATCAATTTAAAGATCACATTACTCAAATCTGTTTTTCAGCTCTTCGTTTAAACTACATGATGGCATTAAAGAGTTCTTTGGCAGCACTTGTCCATTAAAAGGAATAAATGGACACGTCTCTAGAGCACTACTGTACGCACATTTCCCTGAAAAACCTAAAATATGACCCATCTCTGGAAATTGTGGGAACTGCTCCAACATAAATACAATGTCTGTCAGCACAGCATGAGATTGGTTGAACAGTGGGGCGGCAAGAGAGGACAGATTCCATCTCCACCAGAGAGCTGAATGACTCCATTAGAAAATAAAGACCTCACCCCAAAAAAATATAGATTTTAGAGACAGCAGACGTACCTGTAGGCTGCGTCCCCTCTGCCTCTCCCTCACCACCCCCAGCTCCCACTGGGCCTCCCCAGCGTGCCGCCCCAGAGCCGCAAGCAGGAGGCGACACTCGCAGCGGGCAAGGAAGAAGGCGCAGGACAGAGCCAGGAGGTGGTCCAGGGATTCAGCAGAGACCCGGGCCAGGCGCAGCTGCTCTGCGCGGGGGCTGGGCTGGTACCCCAGCAGCCCGAACAGCTCCTCTATCTGAGGAAGGGACAGCACCGGCCTGATGTAGTGGGTGAACAGACCGGAATACATCTGGGACACGAGACAAGAAGAACATTAGTTTATATTTTTGCACAACTGTTATTTGATTGATATACCCCCTTATGTTTATATGTGATGTCTACATTTCTACTACTGTAGTATATTGGTCTTTTAGAGAAGATTCTCATTTATTCAGAATATTTTATATTGTGTATTTTGTGATTCATGTCTTTTCTACTGTAGACATGGATATATTTGCTGTTTATGTTTTATTTTATTTTATTATTTGTAGACTTTATTCCATCTCTTAAATATTTTAATGCTTGAACACATTGCTGCTGTAACAAAGGAATCAATAAAGTATCTATCAATCCGTCTTCATCTGGCATGCGAAAAGACGAGTGCCATTAAAGACTTCACTCTTGTCAGCGTTGAAAAAACATTGGGTCAGCGTTGAATAGAAGGGTGCAGTGATTTGTGTAGGCCATCCCAGATGTTAGCATCACAAAACCAATGGGACTTCTCCTTTGGATTTTGGAATATTGCAACATATAAGATCTCTGGCAAACACACGTTTACTATGAAACTTACACATTTTGTTCAGCAGGATAATCTCCACAAATGAAAACCACTTTATGATATTTTAGGCGTAAATGCCATAGTCAGAAGCAAAAAGAACATTATTCTATAAAGGAACTACAGCATGGTCACATGACTTCAAAGCACGACTGCTAAAGCTAAAGATGGCTAATGTTCAGCGTAATGGCTTATTTAGTCATTCTTTAGCAACCTTTGTTTTTAATAAGACGTAAAAGACATTCACCACTAGGGTATTTACTGACGTATTTATGTCACAGAAAAAAACGTCAAAATCTCTTCAGCTTGTGTTAATCACAGACCTTATTTCAGGCATCTAAAAAAACACCTACAAATATCGGTTGAGTTCTCACACGAGGTGCTAAAATGCTTACTCATTTCATGGCTTTAGGACTCATTCCTGTACCACTGTATAAATAATCAGAGTTGGTGGGACATTTTAAGAAACAAATGCAGAAATTAACTACATGACTCCATTGTTTCCTCAGATCTAACCTTGACTACTTTGTACTCGGCACGCCAGTGACCGAGGTACAGGTTCAGGGCCGCCTGCTCCAGGACCTCGAAGGCTTTGGCCAGGCCCTTCAGCCCTGCTCTGGCTCTGAGTCGCGCCGCCCCGCCTGCTGGTGCTGCTGTGAGCGACTCCTCCATCACCCTCAGCGGGTCCACCCCCAGGCAGTGTGTCTCCTGAGCCTCTCCGTCCTTCAGCAGGACCTCCACCTGCCTCCACAGGTCCTCATCTCCACAGGCCAGGCTGGAGCCTTGACCCACGATCTGCTGCTCCAAACTCTGATCATAGATGCTCACCAGGTCTCTGGTCTGTCTGGGGAGGCTCATCTCTTTTATCTGCTGAGAGGGAGACACACAGGACATTGAAATTAAAGATGAAACTCTGGCACGTTCTCTCTTCTTAAGCAAAATAACTGTTTCTACATAATTAGCTGAAAGTGATCCAAACTATTGTTTTAAACTTGTTTGATTTTTTCATTTATCTTTCTAAATTCTAGTTACCTAAAACTTAATTTCAGATTCAGAATACTTTATTATCCATTTAATTTACAAAAAATGGAAATGTGTTTTTGAACCTAGCAAATAAGATAAAATGACACAGTACAAAATATTACATTCTTTTTTTACATGTTACTTGTTAGACGCTTTTATCCAAAGTGACTTATATACTCAATACTGTGGGCAATCCCCACAGGAGCAATTTGGGGTGAAGTGTCTCAGGGACCCAACGACATGCTGACTGCAGTGGGGTTTGAACGTGTTCTCCCCTGATCCCAACACCAACGCACAACCCACTGCGCGACACACCTCCTGTACATACAATTCATACACACAAATAAAGCGGAGTTGCATCATAAAGTGACATGGAGGCATTCTTAATAGAAGTGGTTTGTTATTCCAGTAGCTTGGGTCCATTACAAGATCAGATGTATTACAAATGTATAATTGACTATACATTCAAAGTGGGTGATGGTGTTGGTGGCAGAATCTCCAAAGAAGGATCTTTAGGATCTGAATCAGAATATGCCTTTATTCCTTCCACAGAGGGGAAATGTACATTGTTACGGCACAAAGAAGATAGACAATACAAATACAAATAAAACACTATTAGATCAATGGGCATGCAGAAAAAATATGAAATGTACAATAGGAAAAATATAAAAGTCATTTGAATGTACAAGTTACATTCAAGTAGATTCTACTAATTTACAAACTGCACATAAGTGTTATTGCACAACAGTGGCGTCGTAGTCTTGTTGTAGTCAACTTGTGTGAGTGTGTGTGGGGGGGTCTACCAGGGGCCATGCTGGTTGTAAAGTCGGACCGCTGCAGGAAGCAAGGACCTGCTGTATCCGCTGTGCAGCAGCCTTTCACTGAAGGAGCTGCACAGTGAGGACAGGGTTTGTCTCCCCGGTGTACAAGTGTGTAAACATGGAGCTCCTCTAAAATAAGAAGTAGGCCTATGTATTGTTCAGTGTTGGGAGGATTACTCAGTCATTCTGGAGTAAAGGAAAAATATGCCAAAAAAGTACTGAGCGATTTTGAGGGATACTGGAAACGTTTAATATTACAATATTTTGTTGAATGTGTTATTACAAACTACGCAAGCTTAGTTATAAGGTTAATTATTTTTAGAGTGTAAACACGTATTACAAAACCGAAAGTAAAACTTATGACATCTTGGCCCAAGTGAAAGTGAAAAATAATGTAAACATATTTTGTTTGTAATTAACCAACTACAGTGTTGATTATCGTCGCTTAAACCTACAGAAATAGCTCGCAGACAGTACGTGGCTTTAAATCCATGACAACGAGTGATAATAATCTATAATGGACTGTCAGCAAGTTAGCATTAGCTCAACCTGTTCCCACTGAGACTAGCTAGTTTGCCAAGTCACCTGTAGCTTTTGCGTTTCAGTGTTTTTAATTGCGAGACAATTAAATGAATTTGTAATAAAATACCGTTTTGTTACAGAAATGTTAGCTGCTCTTCAATTCGGTGGACATACAATCCACCAAACAGCGAAAGGTCGACATTAATAAGACTGTTTTCACCTCCAACCACTGTGTTTAATGATTGGAGAAAGACCCCGGAAGTAACAGCGAAAAGTTAAATTACCATTTGAATCAGAGTTTCATCTTGTTTTAGAAATATGCCGAATTAAAGGCGTACTGTTTCTGATTTGGAAACAGTTTTGTCCATGGTTGAAAAGGTATGTGTTTCTGTCAAAACGCAAGTCAACATTAAATGACTAAAATTAGGATTGACATTTCACACCGAGAGAGATACTTACTAGCGAGCAGCTAAGCTAACGTTAGCTGACAACTGAAACCTGATCAAAGTATAAGCTTTGATTGACACATTAGATTCACACACACTCACCTGTGTCTGGTTAACAGGCCAGGTAACTAAAACATTTCCGGACTCAACGGTCGGTGTGCAGCTGACTGTTTCAGCTGTTTATTGTCTAGATAGAGCAAAGTAAACATTGTCACGTGGCACGGATTTTCCCAGACGGGTGCGTCTGGTAGTAGTACCGGGGCGGGCCGGTCGGGCGGGGAAGAGTAGTTCTGCAGTGGAAGGATTTCTTTGAACTTTGAGGGGTCAAAATTAAACAATTTCACAGAAAATTGACTAAAATGAAACTGTGAGCGTTGCAAAATTAAACTATGAAAAAAAAATGGACTAAAATTAATTCTAAAAGTAACTAATTTACCTGTATAGTTGGCATGTTATATTGTAACAAGCGCATCCTCCACTAGATGGCAGCATTTCATATGTTAAGCGCCCTACTGGCCTCTGCATGAACCGGTTGCCCTGTCGTTATCAACAATCAATCAATCAATCAATCAATCAATCAATGTTTATTTATATAGCCCAATATCACAAATGTTACATTTGTCTCAGTGGACTTCACAGTTTGTACAGAATATCAGTATGACAATACGACACCCTCTGTCCTTAGACCCTCACATCGTACAAGGAAAAACTTCCAGAGAAAACCCACAGTTTAAAGGGAAAAATGGGAGAAACCTCAGGGAGAGCAACAGAGGAGGGATCCCTCTCCCAGGACGGACATACGTGCAATAGATGCCGTGTGTAAATTGAAAAGATAATACATTTGCAACATAGGTAGTCCAAATGTTTGGAAATGCATGTGTGTATAATAGGAAGATGAATCCACGAGGATATCCATCCAGGACTTATGATCCAGGACCACAGCCACGACTCAAGATCCAGGACTCGCGATCCATGAAACAGGACCGCAGGATCATCCATGACTCCGGATCCCGGCGTATATAGACACCAAAAAGAAAGAAATTTGGGGAAGCTGGGTTAATCGGAACATGAGAGTACACAGGTATAGACAGAGAGAAGGAAGAAGTAAAATGTCCCCCGACAAACTAAGCCTATATC